GTCGCGCCTGCGCAGACACGGCGGAGCGCCTACTTCGCGTTTCACGCCTGCGCGAGACCTGGCTCATCGCGCCCCTTTTTTTTCTCCCGCATTTGGACGAATAATAGGAGAGAGGGAACCGGGTTCCTGCCAATCGAAGGGAGGGTAGGTGGGGCTAGAGGCGGGAAGGGGGTGGGTAACCTGGAAAGAGGAAACGGAGGAGGCGGAGGGCTATGAGACCAATCAGAGGGGGAGTGGGGCAGGAGGCGGGACGAGGGAGGTAACTAATAAAAAAGCGGGAACCTAAACCTCCTGTCCAATAAGCAGAGCTGAAGAGTAAATGACAGCGGAAGGGCGGGGAAGAAGGCGGGGACAGCATAGTACGAGGCGGGGCCTTGCAGCTCCTGGCCAACTGGAACGGCGGAAAGGGAGCCTATGAGGAGAGGAATAGGCGAGCAGTGACCGACAGCAGCAAGTCTTGGTTCTCGGAAGAAGGTTTAGGGAGGAATGACAGCTGAGAGAAGGCGGGCCAAATTTGCGATTAATTTGCCTCGTTAGCCAATGATTGCTTTCTTCCACTTTAGCAACAGAGCAGGAAGATAGCTAGCTGTCTCCACCAATGGTAGCATCCAACGAGTAGGGATGCTGCCAGCAGGCGGTGCCAGCCCTGGGATAGTCGGTGACAACCGGAGACAGGCGCGAGAAGGGGATGACAGTTGGTGACGGCGCAGAGAAGGGAACGAGGGCATTTAGTACAGCTCTTAACAATATGAGTGCCGCGCGGCCCGTCCTGAGTGCTGTAGCTCCTGAGTTCCCCTCTGCTATACTCAGAGGCCACAAATCCCCTAAGCTGCCCATCTCTCTTGATCTCCCATTTCCTACGAGAATTTCAAGCCTCAAATCCCTCTCCTCACCTCCCATCTGCACTCCTTTCAGGAATTCAAACTTCAACTCAGTAGACTTCGTGCCTCCACATGTTCCCCCAAACCCATGAATACCAATACCATGAACTGCCCCGTCTGGTTTGTTTGTTTGTTTGTTTTTTGTTTTTGTTTTTGTTTTTTTTTTTTTTAATGTATTTGGTTGTTGCAGGGTCTCACTTCCCAGCTCGGACTCGTGGTGATCCTCCTGCTTTCAGCCTCCCCAGCACTGGGATTACAGGCATGCGCCACTACTCTCCAGACTCTGGCCAGCTCAGCCCGCCCTGTGGGCGGGGCTGGTGCAGCATGTGGTGCCAAGTATTGAACCCCGTCCCTCTGCTTGTCTAAGCTTGCCTAAGCAGGCACTTTAGTCCCCTGAGCTCTCTTGGAGGCCTATATTCTTACTCTTTGAGAGGTCAAAGGCCCCAGCCCTATCAATTCCTCTCCCCTCATTGCCGCATCTCTCTGTGCTTCTCATTTTCTCCCCTTTAACTCCACACCCATCAACACCTGACTTTATGAGCCTTACCCTACAACTTTTAAAGCCCCTCCCAACTCCCATTGTCCTGGGCCCCAGGTTTAGAAGATTTTGACTTTTCTTTTCTTTCTTTCTTTTTATGTATTTGGTACAGGGTCTCACTACACAGCTCCGACTTGTAGTAATCCTCCGGTTTTCAGCCTCCCCAGCGCTGGGATTACAGGCGTGCACCACCATGCCTGGTCTTGATTGCTGGCACAGTCTGTGGTGCAGGAATTGAACCCCAGTTCCTGCGCTTGCCTAAGCAGGCGCTTAGTCTGTTGAGCTATCTCACCGACCCAATTTTTACTTTCTTACAGCATCTGCCATCCTGAAATTTCTATCCAAAGTAGCTTCCAGCTTCCCAGCTCCTCCTTGGTTTCCGAGTCATCTGAGAGTCTTCACCGCCATCTCAGACCCACATCCTCTGAATGCCCATTCAGTGTCCGATCTCCTTAACTCCTCACCTTCCATTTGACTTGACTAGTTCCCTGAACACTCCCCCCACCTTCCCTTTTGGAGTCCTTTTCCCCTCCTAGAATCCAGTAATGAGTGGGCTCCTTCCTGGCCCGGGCCTCCATGGTAACCATATAAGGCAAGGCAGCTGCCATCTGAGGCAGGGTGGGCCCAGTGCGGGAGGCCAAGGGCAGCTGCTAAGTTTAGGGTGGCTCCTTCACTCTTCTTAGAGACAACAGGTGGCTGGGCCCGGGTGCCCAGAAAAGAAAATGTCTTAGAGGCATTGGCATGGGGCTGAAGGAGGGGGCAGGGAGGAGGAACCTTTCTCAGGACATTAGGTCCTAGAGGCAGCAGAAGGAGGAGGACACGGGTGGCTCTGCTAACTTGGGGCTTCCTCTGCCACTATCCTGCAGATTTCTACTGCATGGAGGGAACTGGGACACTGAGGCCCAGAGGCTTAGGAGGGGGCACCTCAAAGTCACACAGTAAACTAAACCAGTTCTGGTCCAGAATGGCGAGGGAGGCTGCTAGCCATTACAGCCAGGCAGGAATGAATGGGCATCAGCTAGCTTCCCTCCTGGTATCTTTGTCTTTCCTCCCCTGAGGCCCAGCCTTCACATCAGCACCCAGGAAATGATCTACACTTAGACTAAATCTTGTGTTTCTCCTGCTTTAAACCTTTGCAAGCTCCTTAGGGCCCCACCTCCCACACTCAGTGTCGCTCACCAGCCCTAAGCATTGTCGGCTTCAGTTCCACCACAGTTCTGGCCACCAATCTTTCTCTGTCCAAGCCGTTGGCCCAGGCACCCATGCTCTAGGTCTGGAGGCAGTCTCAGTTTCTCCACCTTCACCTGACTTGCTCCCCCTGGCTTTCTCCAAGCCAAGCCTGTACCCCTAGATGGGGCTGCTGAGCCCTCAACTTCTGGGCTCCTGACCAGCTAAGCCTTCATTTCAGCATTTATTCCTCTCTCTAGCCCTAGACCTTAAGTTCTGCCAGGCAGGGCCTGATTGTTAATTTCAATGCAAGTTCTGTGGGATAAGGATTGTCTCCACTTTGTAGAGGAAAGTAAGGCCCAGGGTTAAAGTACAAAGTCTGAGACCGTAGAGCTATCTTTCCTCACAAAACCCACCCTCTCCTTGGAGAGGCGTAGGAGAATGTTCTGATGCTCCCACTTCCATGGATGGCTCTCTCCCATCTTTAAGCTCTAGCCCTACTGACACACATATACACTCTTGACTATGAACGCCACCATGTGGTTGTGCAGGAATTGTGTTTGCCAGAGTACATCCACCAAGCTATGCACACTACCTGACACACTGTAGGAACTGATTAATGCCTACTGGGTTCAGATTTTAAGTACACTGCACTAGGAGGTATGAGGGTCTGCCTCATCCTCTTTTCTTCTTCTTCTTCTTCTTCTTCTTCTTCTTCTTCTTCTTCTTCTTCTTCTTCTTCTTCTTCT